TCTACTGAGCCATCTCCCTGCCCCCTAAAATTCCTTTTGTGTGTACACTTTGATTGTTCTTTTGTTTTGTTTTTTGCAGTACTGGGGACTGAACTCAGGACCCTGCACTTGCCAGGCAAGTGCTTATTCTACTGAGCTATCTCCTCAGCCCTGAAGGCAGCAATTTATCTAAACTCCTTTAAAAATTTTTAAAAAGATTTTATTTAATTTTTTTTTTATTTTGGTGTTTTGAGACAAGTCCCCCTCTGTAGTCCAGGTGGCCCAGGCCACTTCACGCTCATCAGGTGGCCGAGGCTGGCCTCACATTTGCAGCAATCCTCTTGCCTCAGCCTCCTAAGTGCGGAGGTTACCAGTGTGCACCATGGCACCCCACTCAAAATGCTTATTAATTTAGGCAATTTACCTGCAGAAACATTTGCATGATGAGAGAAGTATGCATGTGCCAGTCGGGGACGAATCCTGGGCTTTCCTGTACTCGACCCCTGATCTAACGGCTGTTGGAGATCCCCCGGCCTTTGAGCACAAATTGGATTTCAGAGGCAGACCATACAGGGTTTTGGTTTTTCTTTTCCAAATTTTATGCCCTTTCCCGGCCTTACTGAATTCCAGGGCCCAGAGCTCCCAGCACAGCTTTGCCTGAGTGCCATAGCCAGTGTGTTTATCTCCCCCTCCCTGGGTGCCCCTTGCTTTCCTAGTACTGGGGTTCAAGCCAAGTTCTCTCCCATTGAGCCGCATTCCAAGTCCCTCTTTGAAAAAAATAATCACTCTTTTATTTATTTAGTTGGTACAGGGTCTCGCTATGCAGCCCGGAATTGTGGCGATCCTCCTGTTGTCAGCCTCCCCAGTGCTGAGATGACAGGTGTGCACCACCACGCCCGGTTTCCATGGCTGGCATGGCTGGGGCCAGCCCGGCACGCAGTCCTGGGCATTGGACCCTGGTCCTTGTGCTTGCCAGGCAGGCACTTAGACCGCCAAGCTCTCTCTCCAGCCCTATTGTTTCTTGCAAGAGAAGATCTTGCTAAGTCCTTGTGTTGCCCAGGCTGGACTCAAACTTGTGATCCTCCGGCCTCAGCCTCCCAAGTAGCTGGAGCTACAGGGTGATGCCACTGAGCCCAGCCCATGAATGTTTCTTTGGGGGGGATAATGGGAACCTGGTGTGGTTGATCACGGAACACCAGGTACACGGAGTTGCAATAATTGAATAATTGTGAGCCTTAAGTCACAAGACACTGTTCATTATTCATTTATGCAAATCCCCACTTTCATTAGCATGTTTAATTAGCATAAATTCATATAACTTTAAATTAACTATTTGAACAATTTGGTGGCCTTTAGTATTCATGATGTTACACAGCCACATACCCCAAAACATTTCCATCGCTCCGTGAAATAAAGCTCTGTGCCTGGGCAGTCCATAGCTATCCTCTTGGGCCCGGAGCCTATAAAATTGCATTTTGATGGATTTACTCTGCTGGGTATTTCATATAGATGGAATCATAAAAATGTGTATTTTTTTTGTGACTGGCTTCTTTAGTGAGGCTGCTTCTTATTGTTTATTTTTATTATTTTTCTTTTTTTGTATTTCTTATTGTTTCTTTTTCTTTTCTTTCTTTCTTTTTTTGGTGTTTAGTTCAGGGTTTACAGGGTCTACAGGGTCTCACTACACAAATTGGACTCGTAGTGATCCTCTTGTTTTTAGCCTCCCAAGCGCTGGGATTACAGGCTCGCGCCACCACGCCCAGTCTCATTGGCTGTCTCAGTGCGCCCCGGGGCGGGGCTGGCACAACACGCCAGGGATCGAGCCTGGCCCCTGTGTCTGCCTAAGCAGGTGCTTTCATCCACTGAGCTATCTGGCCAGCCCCTTATTGCTTATTTTTCTGAGACTGCACCTTACTGTGTAGTTTGGGCTGGTTTTGAACTCACCATGTACCCAGACTGGGCTTGAACTCTCGGTAACCCGCCTGCCTCAGCCTCCGCAGTGCTGGGCTGATGGGGCTGCAGGGCCATGCAGGCAGGGGTCACCCACTCTTCGCACCTATCGGGACTTCCTTCTTTTTTAGGGTTCCAGAACGCTCCCTTGCGTAGCTCGAGCAGTTTGCTTCTCCATTCACCCACTGGCATGCGTCTGGGATGTTGCTGCTTTTCATGATTGTGAACAGCGCTTCTCTGTCACTTTCCCCTTGTCGGACACAACGCCAGACGCCCAGAGCTGCACTTGATCTTAGCTAAAAGGCCGAGAAGCGACACCCAGAGCTTCAAGGAGGGGTTTATTTGGTTCACTTTCCAGAAGGTTTTCCGGCTTCAAAGTAGAAGGGCCTGGTGGGAAAAGCTGCTTACCTCGTGATGCCCAGGAAGTAGACAGAAAGGGAGGAGCGGGGTGAAGGACCCCCTCTTCCAGGCCATGCCCCTGTGCCTGGGCCCTGTCTGCTAACATGAAACTTTGGGGGACATTTTAGGTCTGAACCATGTACGTGGCCAAACCCATTTTACGTTCCCACCAGCAACAAACATAGCTGTTTTAATTTTTCCCTCTCCTTGTCAGCACTTGCTTTTCTTTTGGTACCAGGACTTGAACTCCGGACCTTGTGCTTGCCTGGCAGATGTTTTGTTTTTTTTGAGAACAATGTCTTGCTATGGTCTTGAATTTGCAGCCAGGCTTCAAAGCCCCTGGAGTGCTGGGATCACAGGTGTGTCCCCTTGTGTGCTTGGGGTCACATCTTGCTAGGTCACTTGTTTCCCAGGCTGGGCTCAAGCCAGCGATCCTCCTGCCTCTGCCTCTGAGTACTGCGATCATAGGGGTGGACACCTATGCCTGGCTGTTTAGCTCTTTTAAACTGTACTTATTAGCACTGCAGTGGGTGTCTGCTGTGTGTCACTTAAAGCCTACAGTGGGGACAGCAACTTACGTAGGCCTGAATCTCATTCTCTTTACAGTCCTGAATCAAAGGTAGCTTCACTGTCCTGTGTTTGCATGTTCCATCCACTATAGCTTCACTGGATGGGTAACACCTATGCAAACGTCTTTAGCACTCCTGGGATTTGAACACAGGACCTTCTACAAGCTAAGCAAGCACTTTACCACCGAGAGTCCTGTTGACCTCTCTTATGTGCAGCTATGGTCTGTTTTTTTTTTAATTGCCAGTGGCGTGGGTCTAAAGTGGCATCGTACTGAACGTGGTGGCCCGCGTCTGTAATTGCAGCACTCAGGAGGCTGATGCAGGACGATTGCCTTCAGTTGGAGGCCCACCCATGCTACACAGTGAGTTCAAAGACAGCCTGTCTCAAAAAAAAAACAAAAAAAAAAACAAAACAGCAATTAAAAAAAGCCCCGCAAGCAAAAAAAACAACAAAAAACCCAAAAAGAAATCAAAAGAACAAGACAAAAAAAAAAAAAATCCCTCAAAGTCTCGATTTTTATTTTCCTGCTTATTAGTGAAATCAAGTGTTTTATAAATTTTTTATTTTATTATTATTATTATTGTATTTTAGGGAAAGGTCTACAGGCTCTTCAGGGTCTCACTACTAGATCGGACTCGTAGTGATCCCCGTTTACAGCCTCCCAAGAGCTGGGATTACAGGCGCAGGCCACCACGCCCAGTCTCAATTCTGTCTCAGCGCGCCCGGGGGAGGGGCTGGCACGGCAAGCCTGGGGATCGAACCCTGCCCCAAGCGCCTACTTGCAAGTGCTTTAATCCGCTAAGTTATTTGGCTGGCCCTATAAAATTTGTTTTAAGAGTTTTCTACACATGAGCTCCGTTTTTTTTTTTTTTTTTTTAACTTTTAGGGTGGGTCCCATGGCCTTCTGATAGAGCTCCATTACTTTCTTGTTTTTATTTAGAGACAGAGTCTTGCTAAATTGCTCATTGCCCTGGCTGGACTCCCATTTTGAGATCTTCCTTCCTTAGCCCCCGGGATGCTGATTCACAAGCCCACGCCGGTAGAGCTGGCAGTTTTGTCTGTTTTTAGATTTTCTGGTCCCTTCTTACTGAGCGACAGAAGCGCTAGAAGCGCTGATGCATCACTCACAGGCTCCCAACACGAGAATCTAGACGTAAATTTGGCGACAAAAAGAAAGGTATTTTTGGTAGTTACAGCCCCCTGCCCCCAGGTGAGGGAGTCGTTAGGCGGGGCCGCACTCCTGCAAACGCTACCAACAGAGGGCGCTGTCGACCCACTTAAAAAAAAAAAAAAAAAAAAAAACTAGCGCAGGTCTAAGGGAATCCGATTCACAAAGCCTGGAACCAAGTGTTCAGATTTGAGAACATTTGCATATGCATAATGAGATATCATGGGGGGTAAAACTTTTTTTGAGGGGGAAGAAACCAGTGTTTAAACATGAAATTCATTATAGCCTTAAAGTCATTTTATGCAAAAAAGGATTTTTTTTTTTTTTTTGAGATAAGGTCTCGCTATGTAGTTCAGGCAGGTCTTGAGCTTGATATGCAGTCCAGGATGGGATCAAACTTGCAATGATCCTCCTGCCTCAGCTTCCTGAAGGCTGAAATTGAGGCATGCAGTGTCTTTTCCAAAAAGGGAACCCTTCCCACGGGGCCCCCAGAGGGTGACCCTGTCCAAGACCTTGGGAAGCCAGTGGGAATTTACAGCTCCACCTGCTACTTCCTTCACTGGTCCAGGGTGCCCCTGGTGGCAGCTGCAGGGGCCACAAGGACAAGCATGGCTCTGTCTCCCCTGTGCCCTGCTGCCTGGCCCTGGCTGCAGGTGACCTCAGGCGAAGGATTCATGCTCTGGGTATAGCGGCAGCTGAGTGGCTGAGCGGCTGAGCTGCAGGCTGTGCCTGCCCCTGAGACAAAGGCGGCTTTTGTTACAGCGCTGTCTGGAGGTGTCTGGGCCTTACCTGAGGACTCCTCTCCATGCTCTGATCTGTTTGGGAGCCCTGGCAGTTAGTGCCCCATCTTGAGGGGCGTGTAAGAGGGTAGCCTGATGTTCTCTGCATTTCGGGGAGGCAGGAGGAGCCTGACAGGGACCCAGGGTCTCAGGCAGAGAATTCAGTTCAGGTTTTATTGAAGCCCTGTTTTTTGTTGTTTGTGAGACAGAGGCTTGCTGTGTACTCCAGGCTGGACTTGCACTTGAATGCGGGGCACTTCTCCCGCCTCAGCCTCCTGAGTGCCAGGATGCAGGCATGCACGGGGCCTTCTGATCCCCTCTCAGCCAGGGCTCACTGCAGCCCTGGGAATGGCTCCAGATGGTCCCCAGAGTCCTGTCGTTGTGCAGAAGAAAGGGTCTGGGTACAGATCATCACCCCCTTGACTGCTGTGGCGGGGCTTCCCTGTATCCCCAGAGTAGGTCCGGTGCTGCCCAGCCAGCCACCCCCGAAGCCAGCCCCCACTGGCTACATGGTTGTGTGCCCATTGGCTTGCTGCCCTGGTGTCCGGCTCCGGGGGCCACCAGCCGGGGCCAGCCCCAGCCCTTGAGACACCCCATTGTGCAGCTGGGGACATTCAGGAGCCGCCTGGTCCTCATCCTCATCGCTGGAACTGTATTCTTCGGTATCACTGCGAATGTCCTTCGTCATCTGGGGAACAGAGCAGAGACAGGGAGGGGTTCGGCGTGGCTCGGGACTCTGGGATAGCGCCTCCCCGCGGGGCCTACTGTTCTCCACCATTTCTGCCATACCTGACCCTTCCACAGGTAGTTGTAGAGCATGCGCAGGATGAGGCTGAACCAGTACACGTGCAGCAGGTTGAGCGACACCAGGAGCACAAGGAAGAAGTAATAACCCACGAAGGGGCTGAACTCCTGGATGGAGTGGTAGTATGAGGTGTAGATGATCCTGTGTGGGGGAGAAAGGGGTCCCGTCAGCCACAGGAGCTGCCAGTTTTTGGAACTTCTCAGCTTACATGGCCCTTCCTGCTCCGGAAATCTCTCTGGCTCCCCAGTTCCCTTCCTGGCTGATACCTACTCTCTTTTTATGACACAGGGTCTCCTTATGTGGCCCAGGCTGGCCTTGAACTCAACTCTTGGTAATCCTGCTGCTTCAGCCTCTCGAGTGCAGGGCTGAAGGCGTGTGCCACCAGGCGCAGATTTGTCTCTGGAACTCCTTAAGGGTGAGGGTCACCTTCCCTCTGTGCACATGCTGTGGGCAGTGCCCCTAAGCATCCCCAGGAATTCCAGCTGCCACACAGCCTTCCTGTGCCCTTCCCAATTCCATTTTCTCTTTGGCACAATCAGCCCCTTGCGCGCCCTCCACAAGGACAGGCTTATCCGGCCGCCAGCTGGGGCCCCTCCCCCTCCCGTTCCAGGGGACGCTGCAGAGGTCCCCTTGCGCCCGGGCCCACGGGGCACTCACTTGGTGGGCATCAGGATGAGGCGCGTGTAGAAGAAGACCAAGGCGAAGACGAGGAAGAGGGCGTCGCACGTCCGGGAGAAGCGCATGTAGTTGAACATCTTGCAAATCTGGGAGCACAGCGGAGAAAGGCTCAGGGCTAGGGCCCGGCGGGATGGAGGGGCGGGGTTGGGGAACCAGGCAAGGTGGGGCCCGTCTCCAGGAAAAGGACCGAAGGAGCCGGCAAGGAGAGGACTTCTGCACAGCATGTGCCCTAGAAGGGTGAGAAAGGTTCAGGCTCCCAGCACGACTGGGGGCGTAGCCTTACGTCCCAGAGCGGGAGGGGCCTGGCCTCATCACCCAGGGAACGGGAAGGCGTGGCCTCGCGGCCCAGGGTACCTGAGGGGCGGGGCCTCGCCTCCCAGGGAGCCTGGGGGCGGGGCCTCATTATCCTAGGAACGGGAGAAGGTGGGGCCTTGCGTCCCAGGGAGTCCGAGGGGCGGGGCCTCGCTTCTTGGGGAGGGTGACAGGGCGGAGCTTCCGCAAGGGACACCCTGGAGGCGGGGCCCGGCGGTTAGAAAGGACCGGCCCACCTCCAGCAAGCAGTCGCCCAAGTCGTGCAACAGCAACATCAGAGACCCGATGCGCACCAGATTCGCGCCGTAGGAGAAGGTGATCAGGAAAATAGTCACGACGTGGTGCATCACCTGCTCCTTGAAATCCTGCAGAGGGGACAGTGGGTCACCGCAGACACATACCTGGGGAGTCCCACTGATGGGCTTGGGGGACAGGAGTTTAGGGGCCAGCGTGGACTTTGGACCCCAACCCTCATGCGTGTGGTCACCCTGCTCCAACCCAGTGCCCTGTGCAGACTGGGTCTCAGGGCCCCACGGAACATCCCTCTCCCTGGTAGGGCTCTTGGCTTGGCCTCACCTTGCGCTTGATGTCAAAGGGTAGCGAGAGGAGTAGTGAGCTGTAGAAACTTAGCTCCAAGATGTACCACCAGGCCAGGCTTGGCTTTAGGTTCTGTGGCAGGAGGGGCAAAGTCAGTTGTGGGTGATGGAGTCTCCTACCAGCAGGGCAAGGGCAGTGGCTCAAGACTACCCTTTGCTCCAAACCAAGAGCCTTCAAGTCCAGTGATCGTGGAAAGAGGGAGCTCCCGGGCACTGGAGGTAATCAAGGGCAGTTGTTTTGTGGCAGCCACAAGGAGTCAAAAATAAAAGAGTGGCACTCAGAGGGGAATTTAGGGCATGAGGCTTAGGTCCGGCTCCTGTGCTCGTGCCCACCCCTATGCTACTCACCTGGTAGGGGTAATGTTTCCAGCACTGTACAATGTCCCACAACCACGGCTCCTGCAGAGGGACAGTGGCCTCAAGCTCCCGAAAGCCCAAGGCCAGCAGCCGCCCTCGTGTGGGGTCTCCCAAGAGCTCCCAGGGTCCTCTGAGTGCGGCGGTCCATACTCACGGAGTAGAGGACCAAGGTGCCACTGACGGAAGTGCAGAAGTAGAAGAGACACCTCCAGCTGCAGAAGGAGAGGACGCCCGCGTCACCGCTGCCCAAGGGGGGGGAGGCCTCTCCCCACTCTTCCCAGCCCCGGGTTACCTGGCTTCACAGAACTTCTTGGACATGCGCGGCCAATCCTGGTTCCGGCGTCTCCGGAACCAGTGTTGAGTCTGTCTCAGCGTGAGGCCACACTGGGCAGCCAGGAGGGCCAGCTGGGCCTGGGGAAGGGGCAACGGGGGGTGGGGTCGCAGAGGCCTGGTGGTGGCTTCCTGCCCTCTGTCCCTGGAAAGGGAGGACTCAGTTCTGCTCTTCCCTCCCCTGGAGCTGCCGTCTTGCCTGTGGGGTAGCTGTGTCTACTATAGAGAGGGCAGTCGGGGGCAGGACCAGAACCCCTGGATCTTAGAAGGGATATTCCTTGTTCACTTGGAGCCTGGGGGTAAGAATGAGGCCGGGCAGCGGCACCCCCAGGCTTTCCTGACCTGCTCCAAGTCAGTTGCTCATGCCCAGGGCTGGGAGGGTGGGCCTCGCCTCACCAGGAGACAGGGGTCGGGGTCGCTGTGAGGAGGCGGGCAGGGGCGGGGCCTCGCGGGAGGGCCGCACTTCCAGGTGGAGTGGGGCGGGGGAGGGACTTCGCGGTGGCACCAGAGGCCACTCTGGTTTCCAGCAAGCGAGCAGCTCCCACTCAGCTCCAGGGCTGCCGTACCGGCCATGCGGACCAAGCGGAGCTCTCACCTCCTCAGGTTTTGGTCTTTTCTGGAAGTATTTCTCCAGCGTGGGGTTGGGCTTCACCTGCTTCTTGACTGGATCCCGCATACCCATCCAATGGCAGAAGGGTACGCCTATGAATCTGGGTCAGGGGACACAGCCATCAGAGCCCGAGAGACATAGGGACATGACTGTGGAGAGAGGAGAGCGAGGGAACATACTCTGGGTAGGGAAACTGAGGCTTTCAGGGGCCAACTTAGGGAAGGAAGCACACAGAAAGAGCACAAAATTCTTTTTTTTTTTTTTTTTAATGTATTTAGCACAGGGTCTACTGGGTCTCACTACACAGATTGGACTCATAGTGATCTTCCTGCTTTCAGCCTCCCAAGCACGGGGATTACAGGCGCGCATCACCACACCCAGTCTCAGTGGCCTTCTCATTGTGCCCACGGGGCGGGGCCAGCATGGCATGCTGGGGATCGAACCCCATTTCCATGTCTGCCTGAGCAGGCGCTTTAATCCGCTGAGCTATCTAGCTGGCCCAAAATTCAGGATTTTTAAGTTTCTCTTGGTGACACACGCTAGCCTGTGATCCTAGTACTTGGGAGGCTGAGGCAAGAGGGTCTCTGAAAGCTTAAGGCCAGCCTGAGCTCTACAGTAAGTTCAAGGCAAGCCTGAACTATAGAGTGAGACCCTGTCTCAAAAAGCAAAACAGACCAGGCCAAACATAACAGCCAACCTGAAGAAAGGCTCCAGTCTAATCTGTGGGATAGCCAGACACTTAGACCCACTCAAAGCATAGAGGAGAGGCTGCCCCCTGTGGCCTGGCATAGGGGGCCTGAGTCTTGGTTTCCCCATGCCCAGGGGCGGCTGCTGTCCCGTCTCCTCCCAAGCTCCTCCCTTTTTCCTGGCCCCTCCCCCACTGCCTTTGGATTAGAGAGGACCCTGGTCAGTTATGCTACCAGCTACACAACACGTAGCCTGGGCCAGCACCCTCAGACAGGCACCGAAATTCATCTCCTCCACCCTGACATCAACCCTCATGTGCGGACCCTGAGGCCCAGAGTGGGGCAGCAAGGAGCTCATTGCAGATCCAGTTGCTGTGGGGGTGAGGCGTTTCCTGAATGTCAGTGACTGCCGAGGGCGAGGGCAGGCCTGCACTGCACGCGGCTCATTCAGCCCTGTTCTTGTCTTTCCTTCTTTATGTTGAGCTAGTTCTTGCCATGTAACCCAGGCTGGCCTGGCGCTTCTGATGGTCCTCCTGCTGCAGCCTCCCAAGTGCTGGATGACACGTGGGAGGGTGGCCCTTCAGCATTGAGCTCAGGCCTGCTTTTGCCCTCTGTCCCATGTGGACTGGCACTAGGGTGGCTGCCCTTCCAGGCTGGGGCTGGGGCTCAGGTCCCTGCAGCACCGGGAGGAAGCCAGCAGCAATGGCCAAGGAAAAGCATTTTAAGTCTGGCGTGGCATGCATGCCTGTCATTCCAGCACTCAAGAGGCTGAGGCAGGAGGATCCTTGTGAGTTCGAGGCCAGCGTGGGCTACAAAATGAGCTCAAGGCCAGTCTGAGCTGCACAGTGAGACCCTGTGTCAAAAAGAAAAAGAAAAAGAAAAAAAAAAAAAGGCATTTTGGTGCACAAGGAAATCCTGCCTGGTGCAGGGACACACAGAAGTGGGGTTGGGATTGCTAGACAAGGCAGGGGACAGTCACCTGTTGAAGGCAAGGCGGGCGGTCACCATCACCAGTGCTAGAGGCAGGACCAGCAGCAAGTCGCTGGGGTGGGCCACGACCATGCCTTCCCGGTCCACCATGTCCGCCCATGTCCAGTTGGGTGGTAGCCAGATCCTCTCATGCCACACCAGGTCGCTCAGGGTGGACAGCATCCTGTAGACACACATGGGGCTGAGTGGAGCACGGCTTGCAGGACCCCAGGGCCCTCGGCCCCAGCAGCTCACTGGGGATTGTGCGTTGGCAGAGGTTGGGCCAGAGGGAGGACCTGTCCCGGTGCCAGTCATCAGAGCTGCTCTCTGGCCTCCCACGGGTGGCACTGGGCCAACTCCTCCCCCTGGTCCCACTGTTGCCAGGCAAAGAGTTACACCTCTAACATTAAGGACAGACACAGGCTGTGAGTCTGCAGGCAAATGACCCCACCTCTCAGGAACTCAAATTCATTCATAAAACAGGGAGAGCCACACCCACTGGTCAGCCCAGCCTGCCAATCACACCAAGTGCTTAGTCTGCTAGTCCTTAACAAGAGTAACCAGAGCAGCAACACTACAGCTCCGAGTAACAGCTATTATTCTGCCCTTTCCAGATGACAGAAGAGTGGCCAGAGGTCAGAGGAGAGGCCACTCTGGGCCAGGAACTCGGCATGTGTGTGTGTGTGGGGGGGTCCTGGGGATTGAACCCAGGGCTTTTGCACTGAGTTATGTTCCTTATCCGTTTTAAATTTTGAGACAGGGTCTTGAGAAGTTACTGAGTTGCCCAGAATGAACTCGAACTTGGGATCCTCCTGCCTCAGCCTCCTGAGTGGCTGGGATCGCATCCTGCTCTGGTCTGTGTTTTGGCATAGGAGAGATGGCAATGGTGTTGCGTTGATTACCATGCAGGGTGAGATACCTTTCAATGACCACAAGAGAGCGCTATGAACCAGGTTTGATGGCACACCCCTCTAATCCCAGTATTCAAAAGGCTGTGACAGCAGGATCCCTTTGAGATCTGGGACCAGCCTAAACTATATAGCAAGACCCGGTCTCAATAAAACTGAAAACAGAACAGAAGCAGGTGATCTAGATTGTCCTGAGGAAGTAGTGTGCAGATCCGGGGACAAATTCCGGAGACATTTTCATATATGGGCTCCCTGCACTCTGGGAAGCTGGAGCAGGAAGATGTCATTTGGAAGCAGAGCCCGGGCAGTTAGCCATCTAGCAAGACTCCGTCTCTAGCAATGTATTATATAGGTGAACACTGGGCTGGGGGTGTAGCTCAGTGTTAGAGCGCTTGCTTGGCATGAAAGGGCCCTACAAAACCTGGGTCCTGTCTCCAGCACCGCCACGCCAACCCCGCACGCAGAGAGAAGGGTACAGGACATAAAGTTCAACTGCAAGCCAGGTGTGGTGGCACACACCTGTCATCTCCACACGGGAAGCTGAGGCAGGAGAACTGCTGTGAGTTTGAGGCCAGTCTGGGCTACAGAGGAGACCCTGTGTGAAAAAGCCACAAAAATAAAAGTTCCAAGCCAGGCCAAATGAATCTGTGATGCTCCTGTTGGTTTCCCGTGGCTGGTCTTCAAAGTTACCTGGATCTTAGTGGCTTTAAAAGACATAGATTTTTATCATGTGACAGCTCTGCAGCTCAGAGCCCAAAACAAGCCTCATGGGCTAAAATCAAGACATCCGCAGGGTGAATCCCTCCAGAGGCCCCCAGGGAGAATGTGGGCCCCGGAGGCACCAGCAGCCCTTGGCCTGTGGCCCCTGCCTGTCTCAGAGCCTGCATGGGCAGCGTTTGGGATCTGACTCTGACTCCCCTGCTACCTCCTTACGAGGACCCCACGCTGACACTAGATGTTCTCCCACCTCAAGACCAGAGGATTAGCAACTGAGATTCACCTTCAACCTCGGCGTGCTGAAACACGTAGGGCTGGGGCGAGACTTGGGTTAAGTGCTTCCATGTCAAGCAGGGGCCACAGGGAGGGGACGGGAGGTACTGAGGGCTTGGGCCTTGGGCAAGGGATGGGAGTGTCACTTACTAGTATGGTGTGAGCCTAGCGCATCAGTTTTCTGTTGTAGGGACAAAATATCTGACGTGCTTTATTTATGTATTTCAGCAAGAGTCTACAGGGCCTGCAGGGTCTCACTACTAGACTGGACTCGTAGCGATCCTTTCTGCTTCTCAGCCTCCCAAGTGCTGGCATTACAAGTGCCCACCACCATACCCAGTCTCAAGCGCCGTCTCAGCGTGTCCGGGAGTGGGGCCAGCACAACACCCCGGGGATCAAACCCCGCTGCTGCATCTGCCTAAGCGGGTGCTTTAATCCACTGAGCTATTTGACTGGCCCTAACATGTATAATTTAAAGGAGGAATAATTTATTTTGGTTCATGGTCTCCGAGGGTGCAGTCCATGGTAGCTGAGATATCATGGGGGAGGGGCCCTGCAGAAAGCTGCTTGCTTCACAGTGGCCAGAAGCAAGGAAAGCAGAAGCTGAGTCAGAGTGACAGTGAAACTATAATTCTAAATTATAATTCACAGATTTATTTATTTATTATGTATTTGATACAGAGTCTCCCTATGCAGCTCAGACTTAGTGGTCCTCCTGCTTCCAGCCTCCCCAGCGCTGGGATCAGAGGTGTGCGCCACCACACCCAGACTCAGTGGCCGGCTCAGTAAGCCTGGGGGGGGGGGGGGCATGTGGTGCTGGGAACTGAACGCCTGTCCCTGAGCTTGCCTAGGCAGATGCTTAGTCCGCTGAGCTATCTTGCCAGCCCTCACAGATACAGTGTTAGTGCCTTGGTTTAAAACAAGGCTTAAGGGCCAGGGCTTTAGCTCAGTGGCGCAGCACCTGCCTGGCAAGCATGATGTCCTCGACTCGATTCCCATCGTGTTCCCCCCCAACAACAACAACAAAGTAAGGCTTAAAATATTAATCTGGGGCCAGAACATAATGCCTGCCTGGCAAAGGCAAGGTCCCAAGCTTGAGCCCTGGTACCAAAAATAAATAAATAAATAGGAAAAAGATATTTTATTTTTTAGGGAAGGATCTACAGGGTGTTCAGGGTCTCACTACTGGATTGGACTCGTAGCCTGAGCGGGGATCACAGGCACGTGCCACCACACCGAGTGTCAATCGCCATCTCAGCACACCCTGGGGGTGGGGCTGACACTGAAGGCCCAGGATTGAACCCCCAGCCCCTGCACCTGCATTTGGCTGGCCCTCTTTTGTTTTTGACGAAACCGGGAATTGAACTCAGGACCTTGCACTTGCCAGGCAGGCACTTATTCTACTGAGCCATCTCCCTGGCCCCCTTGGCTGGCCCTCTTAATAGGAATTTCAACCAAACTTTTTTTTTTTTTTTTTTTAACGGAACCCGGGGATTGAACTCAAGCCCTTGCGCTTGCCAGGGAAGCGCTTATTCCACCGAGCCATCTCCCCGGAACCCCCTCTTTTTTTTAAAAAAATGCATTTGGTATAGGGTCTCCCTAAGCAGCTTGGACTCATAGTGATCCTCCTGCTTTCAGCCTCCCCGGCGTGTGCCACCACATCCGGACTCAGTTGCAGGCTCGTGTGCCCAGGGGTAGGGCCGGCCTGGCATGCAGGACCGGGAACTGAACCCTGGTGTCTGCACTTGCCAAAGCAGGTGCTTAGTCTGCTGAGCTATCTTGCCAGCCCTCAGCCAAACTTTTAAAGAGAGGTTTTACATTTGTCAAATTAATTTCTTGTGTTTTCAACTGTCTTAAAATTACATATTTTTAAAAATCAAGGCCTTGGGGCTGGAGAGATGGCTCAGTGGTCTAAAGCACCTACTTGAAACAAGCTTGGCAAAGCACAGGGACCGCGGTTCAATCCCCCAGCACCACA